GTAGAGTCATCCCATGAAGCAAATTGGTGGGCAATTCAGCATGGAGAAAAGGAAGAATAACTTAACACAAAGCATGGTTAATTAGGGAATTCATGGCCACAGGAAGTAGGGATGGACAGCAATTTGGATAGCATTAAAAGGGGTTAGACAAAGTCATGGAAGGTAACACTCTCAGTGGCTACTAGTCCTCATGGCTACATGCTAGCTCCTGAATTAGAGGCAGCATGCTGAGAACTGGGGAACATGACTAGGTTTGTTTGTTTATTTATTTATTTATTTATTTAGGAAGCTTTTATTTAGGAAGCTCAGGTTGCTGCTATGTAGTCCTGTCCTCATGGTTTTCCTGCAGGCAGCTTTGTGAACAGTAGGCTGGATTAAATGCTTTTTCAATCTGATCTAGCAGGACTCTTCTAAAATTCTTATGTATACTTTTAGATGGGTCCAGTGACTTGATAGCTTGCCTTTCCAGCATCTTAGTGCTATAGAAAGGGCCCTTTCTGTCATGCTAACCGATGCTCACATCAGACAGTGGCAAGACCTCCAAGCAGGCCTCGTAAGATCTGAAGATTCATTGAACTGAAGAGGATTCTTTTAAGATACTCCCAGGTGCTTTAGGGCTTTACAAAATAGAACCAGCAGTTTGAATTGTAAATTAATAAAAAGCTAGGAAACAGGACAATTGGTAATACTATCCTAGTCCACTACAGGGAGCAATTAAATTAGGATTGTTAGGAGGACTGTGTTAGAACAGGTTACGACTGTTGTGGAAGGGTGTATTTCTGTGTTTCATTGCCATTGGGCCCCAATATTTATCTCTCTGTACCTGTGTGTTTAAGTTACCCTGCAACGATGCTTTCCCTCTCTAGACAGGCTTTGTTTTGATCTTAAATTAGCTAACCCTCTAGGCTGCAGTTGGATACTGAAGAGGAAAGCTAATTTGATTCCTCGGCTATGCAAAAAGCACAAGCAAAAAAAAAAAAAAAGGAAGGCTCAGATAGCCAGCCCTAATACAATGCATTTAATTTCAGTCAAAGCCAGTAGACAGCCAGATAATCTTGAGAGAGAAATGTCTGCGAAAAAGATAAGTTTTCCTTCTCTCTGAGAACAGCATTACTGTTTAATGGGATTTCGGATTAAAGAAGTGTCATCCTCACAAGGGGGAGTAAGTTAAATGAACATGCACACATCTATTTCAGATCCTGCTTCTGCATTCTAAGAGTGCTTGTTCACTGACAATATTTTGGAGAAAGGCTGCACTCAGTTTTGCCATTTAGCTTAAGTACAGGTCTTTATACCACCCTTGCCATTTTTGAACTTTTTGCATTGTATACAGACAGAATTTAAGAGGTTGCTGCCTGAAAGCTACTTGTAGTTTACAGCAAACTTAACCTGGGAGTATGTTCCATTGAGCTTAATAGGATTTCTGAATAAAGCATATGATTGTGATCACATAAGCTATACTGTTTTAACAGCTGTATAGCACGAGTTGTACAAGTGAGGGCTAGAATCCTGTGAACTGATTGCATAATGTTAATTCCACTTACTTTTATCTGTTCTTTCTTTGCTGTTGGCTTGTTTCTGCTACCATGGAACATCAGGGTGCTCAAGTCCTGCCTTACCTTCTTTCCTAGGACTCCTAGAAATGTTATTCAGCAGCCCCTCTGTTTCTGAAACTTCACCAAACACTGCCCACACATTCAGGCATATCTTAGCAACCAAAAAGGGAAGCTTCTTTATTGCTGCAAGCTGAGTAAGGATGTCTTAATTCTTTGCCGAGTTGCATTCTGTGGGTTTTTATTGTGCTTGCAGGGGACTGCAGCAAATGACACCAGGACCCCAAGCTTTCAGTGTTACATCCTGTAGTCTTGGAACCTAAAACTGAGCTTCTGTCATAGATCCCGGCCTGTGATTCCCAGGTTACGAAGGCTGGTCTGTCTAGTATAGAAGACAGATTCAAATGCCCTTCTGGGAATATTCCTTTCTGTACTGCAGTGGGGAACTCACCTGGCTAAAAATGATATTTCTCACGTTCCTGAGGGCGTAACTTTAGCAACAAAGGCCTGTGTGCATCTTTGGAGATATTTTGAATGACAGTATGGGGTTATTAGCTCAGTGTACCCGTGCAGGTAGCAGTGATCCGTGCATACCTAATCAAACACAGGGATTCCCTGGTGCTATTATGCAGTGCACTAATAATGTTGATTTCAAGCCCACAAGGAAGGATCCATAATGCTCAGGAACTGAATCTGTGTTGAAAAGCATTGCATGTCTTTTATTCAGAAGCTTCATTCACCAACTCCTTAATTTTCTGGAACTCTGCCCTGCCCTCTTCTAAAGTTAGCCTCCACAATTCATCTCGGCCTCACTAGTCAGTTGCACTGGTAAATGTAAACAGACCCTGGTGTGTGTTTGGCCGTGTGCAAACTACTGCTACATGCACACACAGACTGTGCCAGTAATCTCATGCTATCATTTAAAGAAAGTGCACACTATTTGTAAAAGATTCACACAAAGCTTCTTTGTGGAACAGACAAAGACACAATTATTACTTCATTTCCCGACTCTTTATATTTATATTCTGCCTGTTTTCCCTGCAGAGGACCCTAATTGGCTTACATAATCCTCCTCCCTCACCTCCTCCTCTCTGTTTTATCCTCATAACTCCCTGTGGTAGAATTTTCCAAAAGTCCATAATTAGCCAATGTGACCTAGTGAGCTACTTGGCTAAGTGGTGGCTAAAACCCAGCTTTTCAGAGCCCCAGTCCAGCATTTTTAACCCCCGAGCCATAGAAATCACGCTGCATTTTTCCTGACAACTTTCTTCTCAGATTACGTTAATATGGGCTAGAAGGATGCAGTCTCTGCATAAATATTATCTGGAGCAGAAATGTGATTTATCCACATTCAACTAATGAAGGAGAGCAATTCAAGCTTTTAGAATGGGGGCACCTATACAAAAGCCTAACAACCGGCCAACTGTTGTGGGAGAATGGGTGGAGCCATCTGGGGAACCCCAGGAGGACCCAGCTGGAACCTCAGGGGACAATATTTAGCCCCCAAGCCTGAAGTACCCTCCCCCTGAATTTGAGAGCTGGCTGGCATTCTGCCATTAAGCACTTGCAGTAAAAAACTGATTTTCAAATTCTATATCTTTAGCATTCTTCTCCCATCATCTTAATTGGTCCTTGTAATAAAAACCTCTGTAGGCTTCATTGGAGTGAACTTCCTTAGGAAAACAATCAGCATGTCAGATCTAAGCAATGGAGAACAACTGCTTTTTTATTTTTATTTGCAATTCCAGAGGATGGCATAAGAAGCTGCTCAATTTGCAGCACAGGCTCCAGCCATTATAGCACCCAGTAAATGGGATAGAATAAGGCTTGTGTTGAATAGCCCAGCGTTTCATCTTGTGGAAGAAGGGCAGGAAGAATGCTCTAGTTGAAATCTGTGACAAGCTGGGCAGCTTGGGGCAAGGTTATTTGAAGAATGGGTTTCCTTCCATATCCACCTGCATGGACCCTCAGATTGTCCTCAGCCATCCATCCCTTTCTGGGATCCTCTGCCAAAGGCATTGGTAGCTCCTAAGACAAGCATCTTCTCTGCTTGGGGGCCTTCCACAGAGGCTGTCCTCGTCATGCTCTTTCTGGCATCAAAAGAAGGCATCCCTATTTTCCTCTGCATTTTAGTCTTCCAGTTGGTTTCAAATCTGCTACTGAAATTTAAATTTTTGTTATGGCTCTGTGTTTTCCTCCTTTGTGCTTCTATTTCAAACTGTAGTTTTAAACTTTTATAGCACATTTTATATTTTATGGTTTTAATTGTTGTGAACCACCCAGAGAGCTTCAGCTATGGAGTGGTATGGAAATTGAATAAATGTCAAAGAATCAAAGGAAAGACAAGAGTTAGCTGCTTCTGTTCCCATCCCTGCTCTCTGCATTATGCTGGAATTTTGAGACTTGTAAAATGGGCTGCATTTTCCTATATAAGAATGTGGTTTGTTTCTGTGTTTCAGGGATGGGAGGATAGAGACTTGTTATGCCTATAGATGATATTCCTGTGACTGTCGTCTTAAAGAAATCCAAACAATATTTTTGAGGGTGTCTTCCACTTTTGCATCTTGCCCATTACAAGATGGGCTGTGTTGGCACTACCTCTTCTCAAGTGTGCATTCACATGCACCTAACATAGTTCAGTCTCTTTATTTCATGTGGTTTTCTAATGTTATCCGTAATGGTAAACATTGCAGAGTCTGAGAGGGCACCGAAGCCAAGTTTTAAAGCAAATAGATTATGCTAGCAGAATTGTGTGGCATTGCATTTTGCTGCTTCCAGGGCTTGCGCCAGCTGCTGGAAGCATTCCAGGATGAAAGGGGGGGTTGGATTTGTGGGTGGAGAGGAAGGATAGGCGGGGCCAGGAGAGCTGGAGAGCACCAAGTCAGCGGTGTGATCCCCCCCCCACTGCTTTGCTGCCTGCTGCCGCTCTGCTGTGGCTATAAAACGAAGGGATGGCTGCCTTCTGCCACCTCCCTGCGCCGTTGCTGCAAGCCCGGCTCCAGCTCCCTGTTTAAGCGTGTGTGTGTCCCCCCCCCCCCGCCCCGGCTGCTGTGGCCGCAGCTCCTCTCTCTGCCTGCATGCTGCCTTGGCTCCCATGGGCAGGCTCGGTCTCCACCTCTATCCTGTAAGCGAAGATGTGGTTATATTGCACGGCTGCTGCGTGACGTCTCTGGCAGCACGGTAAGCATCAGCCGCTTGATCACATGCTGGCCCCAGTCAGTAGTGCAGGCGGGATAGGAAGGTGGAGGGTGGAGGTGGCTCTGGTTGCAGGCCATATGGTACTCTCCCTCCCCCTCCCCTCTCTCCCTGGGCACGAGAGCTGGCCGTAGAAACAATAGCTCCTGAGCACGGTGGAATCTGGCTGAGGCTTGGCTCCGCGGGAAACTCCTGAACTCCTGAGTGCGTATCTCTGGTGTGGCTTTATTTCTTCCCGTCTGAGCAGACTTCCAGGACTCCGAGGGAGCGGCGGCCAGCAGGATGCTCTTCCCACCTTCTGCGCAGGAGTCTCCGCGTGGTCTCCCAGACGCCAACGACCTGTGCCTTGGACTGCAGTCCCTCAGCCTGCCAGGGTGGGACAAGCCGTGGAGCACCCAGGATTCGGATGCTGCAGCCCAGCCTGGCACACAGTCCGGTGAGTGAGTCTGCTGACGCACAGCAACAGTTGCTGGATTGGCCTTTTTGCAGCCTTGTCACCGGGAGCTGTTCCTGGCAAAAATAGCAGGTTCTGCTGGTTCCCGACAGCATCTTTCTTCCCTCCCCCCTCCGCCCTTCTTAAGGTGCTTGTTTCTGCCACAGAACGGAGGTATCTTGTGAGGCTGAGTAAAACGCTCCGAGGAGGAAAGCTGTTGCGAATTAGTCCCCACCAATGATACGGAGGCATAAGTTTCTAAGAGATCCTGTGCAGAGAAAGTCATGGTTAATGGGGGGGGTTGAGGAGATTGTTCCTAGTCATTCTTTGAGTGATGCTCTTGCGGAGATGCTGGACTGGAGGACTAAGGCACTCTTCCAGGGTTGCTACTGCAGAATTGTGTGATGAGGTGACAATGGCGAGGAGTTCAGTTGTGTCGATTTGTTTTTACCCTGCTCTTCAGCCCCCAGGGGCTCCCAGAGTGGGCTAGGCTTCCCTGTGGAGGGAGGGTGGACTGCTCTGTGTACAGGAGTCTGGCTTATTAAGCAATCCTCTGCTGCTTGTGCTGCAGAGCCACCTGCCTTAGCTTTCATGTCCAGAGCTTGTCTCGAGGCCAGTGGGGGCTAGTTTCCTAGGCCAAGGACCTAAGAGATGGGGGGAAATCCTTTCTTCTTTTGTTTGCTTATTTTATTGGTGCAGCCGTCTTATGCCTACGCGGTTAGGATCGTGACTCTGAGTGTTGTTGAGCTAAATTAGATATTCCTCTGAAGCCAAGTTTTACCTAAACATGAATGGGTATCTTTCATGTTTTTTCCAAGGAGTGCTCTTTGCTACCACCCACTTCCTGTCATTTGTCAGTGTGTCAGATGCTTCAGGAACTCACAACTTAGAGAAGCCCAGCTCAGTCAAACAGAATATTCTTGAAAGGACAGTGATTCGCATCTGTGATGTATGTCAGTGATGGGAGATGTGTGTAGTTTATAATAGCACATTTTAAAATACATAGTTTTTACATTGTCTGCGCATTGAAAACTACAGTTAGCATCTGGCCTTGAGTGGCAGGACATGCTAATAGACCGAATTTTTGCAAGGCCAGCTAGGCTGTTGTAAATCCTTTGGGTCTCACATCATCTTACATACACTTTTTGTGGCTCCTCAAACCCCCTGTAACAGTGGCATTCAAAAAGGGAGTGTGCGTGTGTATGTGTATCCTGCGCCTACAATGGGAAGAGAAAATAGGTTTTGGACAATAGAAACTACCTGCAGCAGGCCCGTTTACTGCTTGCTGATGGAGTTCTTTCATCATCCTCTCTTTTGGCTGTAGCAAACAAGCAGTAAATTCTTCGTGTGAGTGTAGCAGGTCTCCTGTAGAGTCAGTAAAGCAGACTTGCCAGTGTGGAGTCTTCCATATTTTGAGTTCTCATTAGACCCAGCTAGCATAGGCAGGAACACTGAGAGTTGTACTCCAAAACATCTAGAAGGCACCAAGTTGGAGGAGGAGGCTTCCATGGAGGAATGAGAGCAGGCCTGATAAAAGTTGCAGGTGTTGGCTTCTCCAAGGACCATGGGTGAACATCTGTCACAGCCAGCTTGATCTTCTTAGTAAAGTCTTCTAAGTTAGCAGCTTGGAACTGGTTTGTTAGGCCGTTCTCTGGCAAGCTGTCAGACCATAGAATCTAATTTCTAAAAAGGTCCTTTAATGTAGCTGCTTGCGATGCTAGGCATGGATTGTCCTAACAGCCTTGACCTCCTGGCTGCTGCTCATAACACGACCGCTTGTCTTGTAATAGAATATGGCCGCAGTGAGCTGGGGCAAGAGCTTTGTGCAGACATCTTAAGGTGGGGCAATATTGGCACTTGCTCAGCTGTAGCAGTCTGTACATTTGTTTGCCGCCATTTTGGCAGGCTCCACAAGAAAGGGTTGCTATTGCTTGGACAATTCGTGGAATTGAGTGGTAAGGTGTGAATGGCTGAGAATTTATTAAAACTGCACAAACAAGCCAAGCAGGCATCTTCTTCTTTTTTTTTTTTAAAGGCGGGGAGGATGCTTGTAAGCACTTCCAGGCAGCATGCTTGACAGGAATCATGAAGGCCACAAAGAGGAGAAGCCCAGCCATCTGTCGTCTTGGAGATATTGGGGTACTTAAGCACCCTCTAAACATTTTGAGATTGCACATGAAAACATGTACCTACGGCAACTGCCTAGGCAGAACTGTAGGTTACTATTTCGGTAATAAAGACTCGCTGTACTCAGCTCACTTGTACTCAAGTGAGCAGCAAGAAGTAGCTAGAGTACATTTTGCATTGCAAATGGCAGCTAGCGATAAGATATTACTGTAAAAATCACGTGCCCATGGATGGCATGTTCCAGTGAGCAAAGCAAGTCTAGCTTCAGTCTTTCCCGTATTGCAGGAACATTGTGTCTCTGTGTCTGGATGAAAACCGCCCTGATACCAAATGGCCCCAGTCCATAGAATGAAAGTTGAAATTCATTAGCCTGGCTGAAGATGCTCTTTGGCCAGGTTGTAGGCATGGTGGCATTGCAGAAACAGTTGTGTGTTTTCTCACCATTCCATTGGTAGTTGGACCCTATATCAAGGTACAGAGAAGCTGTGGTTGCATATAGTCCCAGATGCTAAATATACTTGTTCCTGGGTATGAATTAAGCTTTTGGACGTAGTGAAATAACTTGTCATTGTCATTTTAAGTATTGTCTGGCCAGGTAATTCCTACATAGCCTTAGAGGCCATGTAGCATTCTACCTCTGTGGTGAATCTCCAAAGTATTCTGACAGAAGCTCCCTCAGTCAGCCTAAAACAGCAGTATGGTTTCTAGGGGCTGTTCATAGCTTACGGTGCAGCTGCATTAACTCCTCTGCAGAACTTAAACTCTGTGTGTGTGTGTGTGGGCTGTCGTCTCATGGTCTTAAGATAGCTCTGAATTGTGCAGCAAAAAGATGGAAACTTTAATTCTGAATCCAAATGCACTTGGACTGGGTAGCATATCTTCTGGTCTTGAGCAAAGAATTGTCCCAAGTGACCTGAACAGTATGGGGTGTGTGTGTGTGTGTGTGAGAGAGAGAGAGAGAGAGAGAGAGTGTTCTGTCTTGCGTCTCCATTTTTTTTTTATCCTCTTTTCTCTCCACCCACTGTGAGTGTTTCCCCTCCTTTGTAAAGGCTTGCAGTGACTTTGCAGAACTGGAGCGAATGACAGATTTGATTGCCTAGGCATGGGACTTAAGGGGAAATGCTGTTTTGGTGGAAGCATATGCTTAGAAGTAAAAACATAGGAAGGCTAGCTACTCATGTTAATGGCCTTTCCCGTACATTACGCAGCAAAGGAAGCTCTCTGCTTCGGAAGACTGCTTCAGTAAGCAGACAGGATGCCCTATCGAGAGTCCAGTTTCCACCAGGCAGCTCCCTCACCATGTCCTGATGCAGCAGCTGGCATCCAGGCACTTTGCTTGGCACCAGGACTGCAGTGTTGCCTGAGTTTATCTCGAGACCCGAGCCTGTGGGTTGGGAAGGACGGGCCATGCCAAGTACCAGACTGCACTGTTGGTTCTCGGCATTTGGAAGCTTCTGTAATAATGACTCAGCTGAATAAATCCACAGGGAGCTGGCTGGAAGTGCAGAAAGTTAGCAGGAATGCTAAAAATACGATTGCTGATCTGCACTCTTGGAAGTGCCAGTGTTGGACTGCTGATGAGCTTGGAATCCAAGCATGCGCTTGCTGCTGAGGCTCCTCTGAGTCTACATGAAGTTCCTGAGTGGTGTCAGTGCAAACATTGAAGGCCATGCACTCACTGCCCACTGTTTTCAGCCAGCCCTAGCCAGCCTTCTGCTCACCAGATGTGTTGGGTTACAGTTCCTGCTATTCCAGCTAGCATGGCCGCCATGTGGACTGGGGAGAATGTGCGTTGTAGGCCAGTACGTCTAGGAGGTACCAGATAAGGGAAAGATTGTTTACAGCTATGATGCTTGTCTGTCCGGAACCCCCTGTTACTTCTCCGGTGGATATAGGTGATGGCAATTTTTTTGTTGCAAATTTGCTAGTTGCCCCCCTGTGCCCACCCAACATTTTCTGCAGAAGGCATATTTTCTGATTGTCAAGGCAGGTCGTATCTCCGGGACCGATTTGCATGCGTACTCAAGCCCCTCTTCCGTGTGTGTGGCAAACACACGGTGGATTGGTCCTTGCTGTTGCAGAGGCTGCCCATACAGAATGCAGGCTCCAGGACTTCCAGCTCTTGGCTGTTGGGACAAGAATCACTAGAACTCAGCTGCTGAGGATGGCTAAAGAAGGATGAATAGCAGAGAGAGTGATTCTAGGCCAGGCCTCTAGAAATGGCAGATGTTTCAGCTGAAGCTTTCGGAGGGCTGTCTGCAAAACTCCAACCTCTGAACATGTTGCAGAGCATTTGCATTATGTTGCACACAGATGGAAAAATAAAGTACAAAAGCACCTTAAGTGAAACTGCTTATATTTTGGTGGCTGTCTGAGCTGCCTTTCCTGCAGTTTGGTGGGCGCAGCATGCGCTCTTCACCTGAAAGGTCCCAAGTTCAGTGCTCTTCGTCGCCAAGTAGGGCCAGGAGACGGGCCTGCATCAGATCTGGGCAGCCTCTATCAGGTCTGTCTAGGCAGTGCTGTGTTGAATGGACCAATTGCTCTGAACGAGGCATTTTCTTGAGATGTTCCTTCCGCTTCACATCAGGAGGAGGTAGCTGTATATACTATAGAAAAGATTCGGGATAAGACTTTGGTAGTTCATGCGTATGCACTGGCATATTCAGAATATTCCCTAATTCAGCTCAAGGATATCTTATTGGTATGGCAACAGTATTCTACACCTCCAGTTTCTCTGCACTCTGCGTCAGTGTAATAGAATGCCTGTAGCCAGAAATGTGCAAAGTTCACAAAAAGTACAATGTTCATTTGACACAGTGCACAGGGGAAAGGTGTAAAAAGTCCTGGGAGCATGAAAATGGGTGACTTCGGAGAAG